TCCGGTCAAGGGCATGTACCTTGGTTGCGGGCACATCCCCAGTAGGGAGTGTGCAGGAGGCACATGAATCGATGTTTCTCTCTCATCGATGTTTCTAACTCTCTATCCCTCTCCCTTCCTCTCTGTAAAAACTCAATAAAAATATATTTTAAAAAAATGAGTTCGCGTGTCACCTCTGACACGCGTGTCATAGGTTCGCCATCACTGCCCTATCCACTGGGCCAAACCGGCTAGTGTAAGCCATTTACTTCTTCAGGCTGCTACGGGGTAACCTACTCCTGACTCCTAGGGAGCACCGAGGAAGTCCCACTGCGGGGCCTGTGCTTATGCTGTTCCCACACCCAGGATGCCGTCTGCCTCTCTCCCTGCCCTAGTGACCAGGCATGGGTCCAGGCCAGCTGTGACCCCTCCACCGCTGTGACCACAGTGCCAGTCTCTGGCCCTCACGAGGCCCTTGGCCTCCAAGTCAGCCCTTTTTCAAAAAGATCACAAAGGACGCCCAGCCGGTGTGGCTCAGTGGTTGAACATCGACCTATGAACCAGTTGGTCACGGTTCGATTCTAGGCCAGGGCACACGTCTGGGTTTCGGTCTCCATCCCCCAGTGTGGGGCGTGCAAGAGGCAGATGATCAATGACTCACCCTCATCATTGATGTTTCTATCTCTCTCCCTCTCCCTTCCTCTCTGAAATCAATAAAAGTATATTTTTTTAAAAAATCACAAAGGACATTGATACCTCCTTTAAATTGTAATTACCACTGAGGGGTGTAGAGGTTTTCCTTTATAAACTTTACTGTGTTCCAGTTTAAATTATGAGACTGTAACAGTGCTGTGAGTAGGTAGATAATTATTATTCCTGTTTTATAGAACAGAAGGCTCAGACATGTTAAGGGCTTTGCCCAAGGGCACACAGCTAGTTAGTGGTGGGCCTACTAATTATATAACAGCCTCTCGCACAAAACTAAGATCTCAGAGGGGCCTTAGCTGGTTTTGCTCAGTGGGTAGAGCATCAGCCTGCGGACTGAAGGGTCCCAGGTTCAATTCCGGTCAAGGGCACATGCCAGGGTTACGGGCTCGATCCCCAATGGGGGGCGTGCAGGAGTCCGCTGATCAATAATTCCCTCATCATTGATGTTTCTATCTCTCTGAGATCAACAAAAATATATTTAAAAAAAATAAACTCTCGCCGTAACCAGTTTAGCTCAGTGGATAGAGCGTCGGCCTGCGGACTGAAGGGTCCCAGGTTCGATTCCGGTCAAGGGCATGTACCTTGGTTGCGGGCACATCCCCAGTGGGAGTGTGCAGGAGGCAGCTGACCGATGTTTCTCTCTCATCGATGTTTCTGACTCTCTATCTCTCTCCCTTCCTCTCTGTAAAAAATCAATAAAGTATATTTTAAAAAACCCACAAAACTCTCATGTGGGCAGAGAACACTCCCAGCTCGTTCACCCTGGCATGCCTGACCTTTACCAGTTGCTAAATAAATAGGAATTAAGTGAATAATGCCCACGAGCGTTTTTGAAATGTAAGCACCTTCTTTATAAAACGATAGCACCAAACACTTAGCCCCAGTGCCAAGTGCACACTGAGTGGTTCTGTGGATGGTTCCACTTCGTCCGGGCAGCCATCCTGGCTGGGATGTGTTATTGCTGAGAATGAGGAAACTTGAGCCTCAGGGGAGTGAACTCATTCGTCCAAAGTCACACAGCAAATAGAGAGGATCTGAATGGTCCTAACTGTGGACTGAAGGGTCCCAGGTTCGATTCCGGTCAAGGGCATGTACCTTGGTTGCAGGCATATCCCCAGTAGGGGGTGGGCAGGAGGCAGCTGATCGATGTTTCTCTCTCATCGATGTTTCTAACTCTCTATCCCTCTCCCTTCCTCTCTGTAAAAAAATCAATAAAATATATATTTTTTTAAAAAAATAAAATAAAGAGGGTCTGACTGGGCAGGCCTGGGAGGCCCACTGCACCCCATTCATTCTCCTTCTCCAGGTTCCTGTTGTTTTTCTTTTCTTTTTTCAAAATCGATTTCAAAGAGGAAGGGGGGAGAGAGAGATAGAAGCATCAATGATGAGAGAGAATCACTGATCAGCTGCCTCCGTTGCACGCGCCCCCACCAGGGACCGATCCCGAAGCCCAGGCATGTGCCCTTGATCAGGAATCGAACCCGGGGCCCTTCAGTCCCCAGGCCGACGCTCTATCCACTGAGCCAAACTGGCTAGGGCTCCTCTGTGGTTTTTCTGGAACAGAAATGAGCAGTGGGCAGCGAGAGGCCTTTCTCGGTGTCACTCAGCAAATCAGCAAGTGCAGGCTCCAGAGACCCCGGGAAGGGGTCCCCCTGCACGTCCCCCGCCCCATCGCTGCTGGCAGGTCCCTCGAGGCTGGTCCTGGGCACCCCTGCAGGCACCGGGTGTAAGTTCCTGGGCACAGCGCGCTGCCCACCCCCCGGGGCTGGTGGGGAGAGAGGCGCAGGGGT